TGCAAAAAACGAGAAAACATGGAAAATTATAGTTTATAGTAAATTCAACACTTCGCATAAAATCTATACAGATAGGATGCGTATGTTAGGTAGTGTGTTAACCTATGATATAGATATGGTAATAATAGTATACTGATAACGGCATTGATTATGTTCCGTGGTCTTCCTTTCACCCACGGTTGCACGTGTTGGATATCTACGATGCGACATTAGTACTAAATTCTTGAGAACATAAGTTGTATATTAATAACTAAACAACAGTCTACTAACATTAAAACGGTTAGCGATTTTTTTTGTACTACATTTGCATAGTAGACTATCCGACAAACCAATAAGAAAACAATCAATCGACACAATGTGCAGTGTATAGCTGCGGAATCATTAGGCTGTAAATAGAGAAATGGATTCTGAATTTCCAAAAAAAGAATGATGAACGACTATTATCATTCTGATTGTCATACTTCAGTATATCAGATAATAAAGAAGTAAACAATAATAATATTTTAAAGCAGGTGAGGTAAAAGTGTACACTGAACCTGGATTTGATCATAACAATGATTACATAAATATGAAGCAATCTAACAATAAAACGAAAGCTACTGACAAGATGAATAGATAGCGCGGCATATTTTGAGAATTGTTTAATACATAAATTCAGTGTCAAAATCACGTGTTAATAATATCGATGACACTGGTGATATTTATTTCTCCTCATGCTCATGAAAGGCACTTTGACTACAATGATCATTCCCTATGCAAAATTCTGAAGATGAGTCGCTGCTACCTGTGTTTGTTTTAACCAAATTTTTTGGGAACTAGCTCCACAACATGACTGAGTGATGTCATTGACATTTACATTTTTTGGAGAGATACGTTTCTAAGCGAGAAAAATGTTTTTTTCAGCAAAGAAATCTTCTTGTTGTTAGCTAGATACAACTAACAGAAACTGCAATCTTACAAAAAGAGAGTCTTGTTAATTTGTTATTCTTGCATTTTTAAGACGAAAAAATGAACACAGAAGCGCAGAATCATTGTGTTGATCAGAATCTTTGTTAATTATCAAGTTGAAATGTACCTCTTAACATAGATTATTGAACATATTCCCCTAACACTCTATCATCGAATAATACAACCATTTTCGTCAAAAATCACGTAAAAATATGAAAACAGCAATTAATTTTATAGTGTAAACATTCGAGGCAATATTCTAAATCAAACGACAGTGATCTAATTTCACATTGGAAAAATTAAAATATCGATTACCAATTAATTTAAGTAGAATTGGTTGGTGTTTTGTATACTACAACAGATCTGAATAAAAATCAACTTTAAACAAAACTCAATCGTCTTGATAATATAACAAAATCAAACGTTTACCTACATCTACCTAAGTGATGAAAACCACCTAAGTAACCTGTAATCGATATAGACAAACTTTTATGTTACCTTATAAAAACTAATGCGCTATTTAGATGACTGATATTATAAAATTGTATTAAAAAATTTGACATAAGTTTCCGACTTCAAATTTTGACTACTGTCACACTCTGCTGCTCTTTTAATTGAAAAATACAAACATTTGTACTATCTCAATCTGAATGAAGTCCACCTGCCGTTTTAATGAGAAAGTTAAATGAACAAAACCAGTGTCTACCATCATCTCTTACGATCGCCATTGAGTACAAGTGTGTGCGTTCATTTCTCTTAATTGAGTAGACTCATCATCAATTGTCAATTGTATTCGATTATTACTTTTGCCCTTGTTAATGTGTGCATCGTGTCGTCTATTCTCATATTTGATCTATCATTTTCACATTGAATATCATTCACAGATGAGTATTTCTTCTCTACGCTTATGAAATCGATGTTCAATGCATATATTTTCTCTCTTTCCCTTTCTCTCTCTCTATTGTATTATCTATCATACGGATGAATGTAAAGTGTTTTGCTCAGTGAGGCAGAACGGGTGGGAACGGGTATGTTGAACATAAACGACCAACCGTGGTTAATGTGGTTTTTTTTTTTATCATTCTTAAGCGTTGTTCGCCCATTTGAATTTTTATTTGTATAAAAAAAATGTAAATTAATCAATAATCAAACAAAAATTTGGTAAGTATATTAAAAGAAGCTCTCCAAACTTGAAAAACAATTTTTTTTTTTTTTTGGATATATCGGACTAAGCTCAAAAATACTAACCGGAACGAAAACAGAAAAAAAGATTTATAAACTTTTTTTAACAGTAGAAATGAATGCATGCATCACCAGCTTTTTTAATTGAATAAGAACGGTTAAGTCGTTTTGATTGAAGGAGAACAATCTAATAGCTGTTCATTATACAGATTATTTGGCAAAAGAGTCAGTATGATTTATTCATGCAGTATTGAATATTGATAGCTTCATGAAGCTATTTATCTGGTGGTTAGAGACCTGTGTAGGATTGGGAAAATTGAGTCTAAACTAAATTAGAGTTTGGAATCTAATATTTTTCCAAGACTAGTTCTCCAACTTGTGATTCAACTTGGCTAGACTCGTGCGAACTAGTCGATAATGCACTCTCCTCATGTACACGCCTGCTCGTTTGAACTTATCCCCAAGGCTTCGAGAAAAATTTGTCGACTGCTATTTTATCATCGTCCGTCTTAGCGAAAAAGAAAGAGAAACCACTATACCGTTTCCAGCTCTGCCCTAAGCACGTTCCTTGTTTGAGATATCATCAAAAATCATTCCCCGGTTGTAGATTGATGTAGCTAATTTTGATCAATTTAATGAAGTTATTATTTACTATTTATTTCGTTTTGAATTTTAAAAATGGCAGTAGTACAAAGATTGAGTGAAAGAACTTGATGGATATATGATTTAACTTCTAATGCTTAGTTTTTATTAATGAAACGTATCGTCAAAAAAGTTATAAATGAAAAATAGATATATCTCTTGTATAATTGTACAATCTTGCTTCTAGAAAACTAAATAATTTTTTCAATTAATTTTTCTTGAACAATTTAATTCAAATTTCTATTATGCAATGCAATCGTCGGTATTTATTTAATATGTGTTAATTATATTCGACATTGAACTATCATTGTGTCTCACCTTTCATCTCCGCTGTATCGGTTTATATATCACCGTGTAGTCAACAAAAGACTTCTATTTCCTTCTAATACTGTCCTTGATGTTCACGTATAACATGAATTGAAACGTTAGAAAAAAAAAAATGACGAATAAAAAAATCATCATGTTAAACGTACACACTGTTGCTCTTCTTCTTTTATTACTCACAAACGGTTGTGGGTATACGTACATTCCTTGAATCTGGTCGTCCGTGACCAAGCACCTTTACCTTCTTGTTCTGCTTCTAATAATGACACAAAATACTGTTAAAATAACAAAAAAAAAACAAATCAAGACTAGTACTACGCGAAAAAAAAACGTGTCTGAATATGTTGGATAAATAATTAAGAATACCAGAAAGTGATTATACAATATGTTTATATAGTTGGTGAGTTTATGTAGTTCATAGTTCTTGCTTTATATACTTAGATAACATTATAATTCTAAATGACTATCAATTCTAAAGGTTATTTTCAATTTTGATTTTTCATAAAATATATTATTGACATTCGTGTTTTATTTATAATACATACAATCTTGTCACTTTAAACTTACTCATTCATATGTTAGTTTAAATTGTTTTCTCATCACTCGGTAAAATAATCTGTCACATGTATTTACCAAAAAAGTTGTCTATAGGATGATGATCGATTATTTGTTTTTAACATACTATATATGCATTTTAGAATTTGTATGTTTGATTTAACAAAGTATGATTGATTGAAATAGAAAGCTTATTAAAACAAATATTACAAGAAATGGGAGGAGCATTTTAAACAGATATATTAAATAATTTTTACATTGATATATACCAAATATGACCTCATATAACTACATTAGATAGATATTTAAGAGAAAGAAAAAAAAAGAGACAGATTGTGGAAAAGAAGTATTATAAATTCGAAGTGATGTAAGTTCAATTTGAGATAATGATAGATAACCTGGTGTAGTTAAAGACTGCATACAATATATTTTGGTTCAATAATTTCAATTTTTTTTCTTTTATCTGAATTGCTAGTTTTAACGCTTAGAAATAAAAAAGAGAACATGTTTAAAATAACTACTTAAATATGTTTTTTTATATGAAAACACTTAATGTTCAAGTTCAAAATTCAATCAGTTAAAATTTAATTTACTCACATTCAATCAACTATTAGTCGCCCATCCTGTTTCATGCGTTGCGCGGTTAGCATAGTCAATTGATCTTAAATTAATTTAACACCATTTAATTTAACTGGTTCTGCTTTATGTCATAATTTTCTCATTTTCTATCTAATAATCGATTGAAAGTAATCTTTTCTTCTCTTTTTTGTTTGTTTCGCATGAATGATCATCATTATTAGTTCTACAATTTGTGACAAAGAAACACGTGGAAAAATGTTTCTCTTGTTATTATTTTACGATTTTTTAACTTGAAACGAAACCGCAATTATTTACTGTTTTAAATTAATTACCTTATAGTAAAAAATTGTGTTTCAAGTTTTTTTTTTATATAAAATAATTTTTTCGTTGAATTATATACATAACTTTATTTTATACGCCTATTTGAGATATTCAAGAGTTTAAGTTTGAAAAGTCTTATTTGACCATAGTTTCTAACAGTCGCTATTTTGTCTAGTGAGAAACGACAAGTAAAAAATCATCGTCTTTTCAATATCTCTAGAATTAATTATAGATAGGCTATAATAAAATATCACCATTTTTATCTAAATTTACTTTATTGAAACTGCTATACAGATAGGTACGAAAGCTGATAGAAATTCATTGTACATTTAAGCCCTAATAATTTTTTTCGAAAGAAGTATGATCATCATCTCAAATTTCGACGATATTTAACATGATATTATTAGCTTTTTTTTTGAGATGAAACGACAACTACACAGAGTGAGGTAATTGATTATACGGTATAGACATGAATTGTCGTAGTAAAACGATAGAATACAATTAATATGAATCATTTGATACATGAGTTAAACGTTTTTAATTAAACATACAGACATATCTAACGATTTTTTCTCTTTCTCTCTCTTCATATACTAAGGCAATAAACAATTGCCTTACGTTCGTTCAAAACGAGACGGAGATACATATACACTGATTACTTGATTATAACCTAAAGATACTTTCGTCTTTTAAATTAGATCAAAATCATACAACATAAACATCCATTAACTATGTTAGGTGAAGATGATCAGAGTGAAGATACAACAAACTCATCTTGTTTTACAGTGAGTGATATATCTGGTTCTTATTTTTATTTTAATGATCACTTATCATTTTAGATTGTTCATACTCAAAAACATCCATTAAATGAGAAAGAACGATCGGCAGCTAGTCTATCATCAAGAACCTCACAAGCATTTTGGAAAGAAATAGAAGAACAACGTCAACAATCATTATTATCAAATTCAAATTCAAGTTCACTTCGTCGTAAAATGTCAAATAAATTAAAAGATAAATGTAATCTATTAGAAACAGCATTTATTAGTGGTACAAGTAATAAAAACACTTCTTTGGTGATGATTAACGAATCAATAAAAACACCGATCGTATTGAATTTGAATAGTATTATTCG